CCTGGGAAGGGTGCTACCTCGGACTGCCGGAGGCCTGAGCCCAAAGAAACCCGTCGCTTCTCTCCCCACCGCAGATGTGTTGTCCCCTGTGCCGGGGGGCGGGCCCGCATCTCCTTCTCACCACAAGGTGGAGGAGACGGCTTTGCAAAGCGCTGCTGGGCTCCGGGTCCGGGCTGGCCGCTGTGGTGCTACTTTCTCTGCCTCTTTGGGAGCCACAGCCCCACTGCTGGTCTGAAGTCGCTGCATGATGCTGGGAGGACAGTGCTGGGTGACTGAGAGCACCCATCATGGAAGTAGGACAGGGAAAAGATGGCATCCAAAGGGCCTAGGAGACAGGGAGGGGTTGGGAAGAGGTGCAACCATGCAGCTGCTGCCAGCACAGCCTGGGGAGGTGGGTCAAGGGGCCATTTTAGGGGATCATTGCCCTTTCCTGCACTTGGAGGGGGATTTTCAGGCAGGCATCAGCCCTGATGCTGAGTGCCCGGCTCAGGGCTGGGAAGGTGGTTTTATCTACAGTGGGCTTTTGTACCAATAAAAAGAAGTACTGCGGACAAGCGGGGCTGTGAGCGGCCGGTGGCACTGCCCTCGGGGGGGCACAGCCACTGCAGCACTGGTCCCAGGGGGCTTGTGCTGGTGTGACTGGGGGAGCGAGCCTGCTAGTCACAGACCCCAGTTGCCTGGAGGTTTTGCTCCTGCTCTGTCCATCCTCACAGGGGCTGGGCTCCAGCATTACTGCCTGGTGATGGAGGCTGCTGAGAGCTGGAGGGCTGCAGGTTCCTCCCTTCTCCCAGACCTGGCCCATTTGCCTTGGTTTTGGCATGGCTGTAGAGTTCCCTGAGGTTTGGCTCTGGCTGCACTGGAGCTGCCAGGGAAAGTGGGAGGCAACTGTGGATCTGTGACTGCCCCAGCGATGGTGGAGCTGGGTAAGGGCTGGCTAGTAAGGAAGCAGTGGCTCTGCTACCTTCAGCTCTCTACCAAGCCATGGTTATGTTTTTCATGTGCTTTGCACAAATAAAAGGAGGAAGAAGTCCCAGAGCGATGGAGGGCAGGGCGGGACTGTGTGAGCAGCCCTGCACTGCTTGCTCTGGAGCTCTGCCCAGGGCACAGAGACCGATGCTGTCTCTGCTGATTGGGAATGGGTCCCTGCACACCCCTCTCTGCTGTGAGTCCAGTTCCACTGCTGCCCTTTCCTGCCCCACACCTTCACAGAAGGACAGCAAGGTGGGCTGGCACCATGGGAGGCTTTTACTTTTTTATTTTTTACTATATTTTTACTTTTTTTTATAACAAAAATAGCTATTGGGACCTGATGCTGCCCCAGCCAAACAGTCTGTGTGGGCAGCCTGTGCAGCCAAGAGGTGCTGGAGCACTGGCCCTCCCTTGGCCTGTGAGTGAGGGGAGGTGGGCTAGCAGGCTGAACCTGTGGAGTTGGGACCACCGCAGGGGTATGGGGCTCATGCCGTGTTCTCGGTGGTGGCTGCTGTGTAGATGACCTTGGATTTTGTTGGCGAGTCCAGCCTGCTGGAGGAGGAAGGGGAGGGTTGTTAGAGCAGGCAGGGGGGCTGCCTGAGAGACCACCCTTAACCACCCTCA